ATAGGATACCTCTACTCCCTCCTTGGTGACTGATCATGCACCTCTTACCATCTCACTAAAACTTAATCACCCTTACCTCACTCAACGCCAATATCCCATCCCACAGCACGCTTTTAAAGGATTAAAGCCTATTACACTCACCTGTTAGAGCATGGCCTTTTAAACTCTGTAAACTCCCCTTACAATTCCCCCATTTTACCTGTCCTAAAACCAGATAAGGCTTACAGGTTAGTTCAGGATCTGCACCTTATCAACCAAGTTATTTTGCCTATCCACCCCATGGTGCCAAACCCATATACTCTCCTATCCTCAATACCTCCCTCTATAACCCATTATTCTGTCCTAGATCTCAAACATACTTTCTTTACTATTCCTTTGCACCCTTCATCCCAGCCTCTCTTCGCTTTCACTTGGACTGACCCTGACACCCATCAGGCTCAGCAAATTACCTGGGCTGTACTGCCGCAAGGCTTCACGGACAGCCCCCATTACTTCAGTCAAGCCCAAATTTCTTCTTCATCTGTTACCTATCTTGGCATAATTCTCATAAAAACACACATGCTCTCCCTGCTGATCATGTCCGGCTAATCTCTCAAATCCCAAACCCTTTTACAAAACAACTCCTTTCCTTCCTAGGCATGGTTAGTGCAGTCAGAATTCTTACACAAGAGCCAGGACCCCGTCCTGTAGCCTTTTTATCCAAACAACTTGACCTTACTTTTTCAGCCTACTAGCCCTCATGTCTGCGTGCGGCAGCCGCCACCACCCTATTACTTTTAGAGGCCCTCAAAATCACAAACTATGCTCAACTCACTCTCTACAGTTCTCATAACTTCCAAAATCTATTTTCTTCCTCCCACCTGACGCATATACTTTCTGCACCCCAGCTCCTTCAGCTATACTCACTCTTTGTTGAGTCTCCCACAATTACCATTGTTCCTGGCCCGGACTTCAATCCAGCCTCCCACATTATTCCGGATACCACACCTGACCCTCATGACTACATCTCTCTGATCCACCTGACATTCACCCCATTTCCCCATATTTCCTTCTTCCCTGTTCCTCACCCTGATCACATTTGGTTTACTGATGGCAGTTCCATCCAGCCTAATTGCCCCTCACCAGCAAAGGCAGGCTATGCAATAGTATCTTCCACATCTATCATTGAGGCTACTGCTCTGCCACCCTCCACTACCTCTTAGCAAGCTGAACTAGTTGCCTTAACTCAGGCCCTCACTCTTGCAAAAGGACTACAAGTCAATGTTTATATTGACTCTAAATATGCCTTCCATATTCTGCACCACCATGCTGTTACATGGGCTGAAAGAGATTTCCTCACTATGCAAGGGTCCTCCATCATTAATGCCTCTTTAATAAAAACTCTGCTCAAGGCCGCTTTACTTCCAAAGGAAGCTGGAGTCATTCACTGCAAGGGCCATCAAAAGGCGTCAGATCCCATTGCTCTAGGCAACGCTTATACTGATAAGGTGGCTAGACAAGCAGCTAGCATTCCAACTTCTGTCCCTCAGGAACAGTTTTTCTCCTTCACATCGGTCACTCCCACGCTGAAACTTCCACCTATCAATCTCTTCCCACACAAAGTAAATAGTTCTTAGACCAAGGAAAATATCTCCTTTCAGCCTCACAGGTCCATTCTATTCTGTCATCATTTCATAACCTCTTCCATGTAGGTTACAAGTTGCTAGCCCGTCTCTTAGAAACTCTCATTTCCTTTTCATCATGGAAATCTATCCTCAAGGAAATCACTTCTCAGTGTTCCATCTGCTATTCTACTACTCCTCAGGAATTTCAAACGCCCCCTCCCTTCCCTACACATCAAGCTCAAGGTTTTGCACCCGCCCAGCACTGGCAAATTGACTTTACTCACATGCCTCGAGTCAGGAAACTAAAATACCTTTTGGTCTAGGTAGACACTTTCACTGGATGGGTAGAGGCCTTTCCCACAGGGTCTGAGAAGGCCACCACGGTCATTTCTTCCCTTCTGTCAGACATAATTCCTCAGTTTGGCCTTCCGACCTCTATACAGTCCGATAACAGACCGGTCTTTACTAGTCAAATCGCTCAAGCAGTTTCTCAGGCTCTTGGTATTCATTGGCACCTGGTTTTACCTCAAACTGCCACCCTTAAGTCTCTCTTTAAGTGGATAGATCTTCAGTGACAAAGTACACTCCAGTACTTTCACCCTGATGAAGTCCTATTCTTTACTTTTTTAAATTTTTATTTAAAAAATTTTTTTAAATTATACTTTAAGTTCTAGGGTACATGTGCACAACGTGCAGGTTTGTTACATATATATACATGTGCCATGTTGATGTGCTGCACCCATCAACTCGTCAGCACTCATCAACTCGTCATTTACATCAGGTATAACTATACTTACTCTTATTCTCATTCCCATTCTTATGCCACCTTCTACCTCTCCCCAGCTGTCTCCACCACACTATCAATCTCAGTCACTGTCTCCTAGCCGTTTACAATCCTTTAACAAACAATTGCTGGCTTTGCATTTCTCTTTCCTCCAAAATCGCCAAGGCCTTGACTTACTCACTACTAAAAAAAGAAAAAAAAGGAGGGGGTGACTCTGTATATTTTTAAATGAAGAATGTTTTTATCTAAATCAATCTGACCTGGTAATTACACTGAACCCCCTTTGACACTCTGTAATTGAATGTCCTGGGTCTTCCCAATTCTTAGTCTTTTAATACCTGCTTTTTCTCCTTCTCTTATTCAGACCTTGTGTCTTCCGTTTAGTTTTTCAATTCATACAAAACCACATACAGACCATCACCAATCATTCTATGTGACAAATGCTCCTTCTAACAACCCCACAATATCGCCTCTTACCACAAAATCTTCCTTCAGCTTAATCTCTCCCACTCTAGGTTCCCACGCCGCCCCAATCCTGCTTGAAGCAGCCCTGAGAAACATTGCCCATTCTCTCTCCATACCACTCCCCCAAAATTTTCACTGCCCCAACACTTCAACACTATTTTGTTTTATTTTTGTTATTAATATAAGAAGACAGGAATATCAGGCCTCTGAGCCAAAGCTAAGCCATCATATGCCCTGTGACCTGCACGTACACATCCAGATGACCGGTTCCTGCCTTAATGGATGACATTCCACCACAAAAGAAGTGAAAATGGCCTGTTCCTGCCTTAACTGATGACATTACCTTGTGAAATTCCTTTCCTGGCTCATAAGCTCCCCCACTGAGCACCTTGTGACTCCCATCGCTGCCCGCCAGAGAACAACCCCCTTTGACTGTAATTTTCCTTTACCTACCCAAATCCTATAAAACGGCCCCACCCCTATCTCCCTTTACTGACTCTCGGACTCAGCCCGTCTGCACCCAGGTGATTAAAAAGCTTTATTGCTCACACAAAGCCTGTTTGGTGGTCTCTTCACACGGACGCACGTGACATGGAAGACATGAGAGCCACCTGTTCATTTATTCCCCAAGTAAACAGCAAACATGACTTTCATTCAAATTCACGTATTCGTTTAAATGAACCCCAAAGCTCTAATACACTATGTGTAGCTATTTTGCTGTTATTTAGCATCAAATGCACTTGTAGGACTTTATTGCATAGAAACAGGCATGTATATGGAACTATTCCTGTCCTCAATTTTATAACAAATCAGTGCTGAGTACAATAATTATAGGTCATTAAAGATGAGTAGATATTATACTGAAAAAATATACTTTATTTCTATTGTAAAATGCGCATATGCACATTTTTCTTTACAGTATTTTTTCAAAATTGCCACAATTATATTCCAATGATTTAATTTAGACCATTTTATTGTAGATATATATTGGTAAAAACATCCTTCACAAACAATATACATGTTTGGAGTGATACAGAAATAAAATTTATGTCACTAACAAACAATAGTAACAATTATAAAAATGTCATTCTAATATTTATATACTACTTTTGGTTTATAAAGCACTTAACATACACTTTACTCATTTAATTTTCATAATAATTACCAGATTGCTTACACTGTAGGTAGCTGATTCTCATTTCCCGAATAATGATTATGATTTAGTATATCTGTGTAGACCAATAATTTGAATTTTACATACTCATCTGTAGGTAATTTTAAGGGAATATTGCTACTCAAGGGTGCTGGCTCACTCAGAACAGCAGTGTGGGCATCACCTGGGAGCTTGTAAGAAATGCAGAAACTTGGGCCTCAACTCAGAACTACTGAACTGGAATTTGCGTTTTATTAAGATTCCTCAGGGGATTCAAACATACACTAAAGCTTGAGGGGCATCCCTTTAACTACATTCAAATGTAGATGTGGTTATCCTTCCATTGAAGATAGTGTTCTCATTTGCAAAAGAGGCATAATCAATACCTGTTTCCAAAGATGGTTGTAAAAATAAAATGTAGAGATTATAAAATATAAAGATTATATTAGCAAACTTTTAGCCAATGGTCTCTACTAGCATTTTCATTCATTTAACAAATATTTTTCTTGAGTACTTGATCCAAGTCAGGGACTCTGTTGGATTTGCCTTATAAAATGGTAAAGAAGATAGATACAGTTCCTGCCTTTATGGAGTTAATAGTCTATGGCAGAGCTTACAGTCATCATCACCATCATCAATGTCATTATCAACATTAAGATTTTTTTATTATAATGACAGGTCTTAAAAGGTTATAACAGAAATAGATGAAGGAGGACCAAATGTTTCCCATCAGCAGTGTTGCACAAGAAAAGCAAACAAAAGTTAGCATATTAGTTTGATTTCACAGATAGAGAGAGGTCATGGCAAAAAGTATTTACCTGTGGCTGAAGGAGTAAATGGGAGGGGAAAAGGGGGACAAAAAAATACATATCCGGAGCCGTATAAATCATTTTCACAAAGTAATAGAGACTTCTCTCTTGATAGGCAATACATTTTGAATTGGATTTTAAAAGCAATAGGGAAATAGAACATGTGAATTTTCCCTAGTTCTTACCTCAATATGTCCTTAGAGCTGACTTCACTGGAGCTGTTTGTCTAGGGGCTGGTCCTTCTGAAGGTTTCAGAAACAAGTTCTATCCTACTGTGGTTATAAGAGGACTGACTTCACATGAATTGGCCTTCATTTCTTAGGCCCAAAGTGTCTCTCTCACATGACTACATCAATGGCAGGCCAGAAAGAAAAAAAATGGGAAAAATTATCCCACACAATCGATTGACTCAATGTTGGACGGACAAAAAGTAATACATACTTAGATTCAACTTCTGCCTGCCCCAAAGTACACACCAGGAACCCATTGCTTGCATTGACAAATCTCTTAATTAGAAGATGGCATTTGTTCTCAATTAGAGAAACAGATTGAGATGCTCCCTTTAAAGATAAAACCATTGAAAAGTGTGCAGCAGTTTGGTGGAAAAAGAGGCAATTAGGCATATCACCTGGAGACTCCTTGCATTTGCAGCAGTGAATGCATAAACAAAACAATTACTCCACTCAAGAGATACTTCACCGTGGCTCAGAGAGAGAAGGGGATGAATCACTGCTGATGAGTATTTAAGAAATGTCCCCTGAGATTAATTCCTATATATATATATATATACACACACACACACACACACACACACACACACACACAAAGATAATCACCCCCATCCACATTACCTTGGTATACTTTTCCTGAAACTCCACTGAATTTCTGGAAAATAATATGAAGATCATACTTAGAACACAATCAGAAGCAAGCACTTTTCCATGAATTTACTGCATCAAAGAATACTAGTTCATTCAAGTAACCCAGGTGTTTTGTGTCATTTCATTAATTCATTCAATGAGTAGCACTTATTTTGTGCACAACTCTACTAAACACACAAGTATACTTGAATATGTAAAAGAATAATCCACTGCCCTCCAGGACCTCATCTGAAAAACATTTGGCAAGATGTTCCATTAGAGGAAAAAATCAAGTCCATGTGTTACAAAATGTGTGCTGGAGAGCTAGTGTGTGTGTGTGTGTGTGTGTGTGTGTGTGTGCGCGCGCGCGTGCGCACGCACAAAGAAGTCTGAGAATCATCAGAATACGTTCTTAGTAATATGTTGAAGATGGGTCAAACATTAGACCTTGAAAAGAGTACGACTTTAAATTTGGCTGCCTTTAAAAGATACCAAAAGAGCCAATTAAAAAGCTAAAAATCCAATGACATCTTTACATCTTTTTGTCTATATGATGTAAAATGTTCAACCTAACATTTTAATTGAATTTTTTTGTTTATTCTATCACACAGCCCACCCTACATTTTCGGCTGAATCCAATAGGATAATGAAATATATTTTCAGTCATAGCTAACTTATTTATATAGGGCATTCCTGTGTGTAGGCAACATGTGATAACAGGAGCTCTACAAAGATCTGTTGTCCAGGACAAATAATTTTTCAACTGTTTCTATCTGGTATTATAAGAGAAAAACATTTTATTGAAAAAGAAGAAATAAGATGTAAAATTGCAGTTCAAGAAGGAAGAGAATGCAGGAATTTAAATACATCTTTATGTGCAAATGAAGCCACCCCTAGAACTTGGAGATTTGACCAATGAACCATCTCAGTGAGGTTCCCACAGTGAGTGGCTCAAGGACCCCCTTTGATTTATTAAACCTAAGAAATGTCGACAAATTGTAAGGCCCAGCTGTAAACTCTACATGATTCTCCTCTGTTTGTTAGGCATGACTCAAATATTTTAAGGTAGTTTCAACTAAACAATTTGCCAAATATGTGGTTTGTTGGAATTTAAATTTTCACTCTATTGTTTAGGTATATAAGTAGAAATATAGACGCCTGCAAGAAAAAGATAATTAAAAACCTGGATATTCAAGCACATTGCAGTTTGTGAAGGGACAATCAACTCACCTGAGAGTTTGCTAACTTTTTTTGGATACATAATAGAATTTTAAAATGAAATATAAATGTCAGAGAAGTTTCTCAAGTATTATTATTTACCGTGATTAAGAAACAGTCGTCAAAAAATACAAGACAACAAAGAAATTTCAGTTTTATTTTGCATTTCCTTTTAATGTAGGCAACAAAGCGAATACTTTTGTGCTGAAAATACATCCTACAGATATTTACAAGATACTTTGCTAATAAAAATAATTTCAAATCTCAGAATACCAAATTATCTTGAAAGATACTTATTAACATCAGATTTACAATTTACTCACAAATCAAAAGTTGAACTTATTACGTTTTCCTCCTAGGGAAAACACATAACTTTAACAAAGTTTTTGAAGTCATGCTATGAATATATATATATATATATATTCCTCCCTTTGCAACTTTGATTCAGCTGGAGATGTATAAGACATTAATTTTAAATAGCACATAAACCATCTTTACATTATTTTAGGCTTTATTTTTTTCAATTGATTTGAGCTGTGGTAATCTGAACTCCTAGCATAGCAATCTGACTCTGACGCTCTAAATTTTGCACAGCTTGTCTACCCCAAAGGTGCTTGTCACAAAACCTGTTAGTAATAAAGTAGAGTAGGCTCACTGCAAATCCATTCTTACAACAGGATTAATAATACAAAGGTTTCTTTCTTATGTTCTGTCAGGGATAAAATCTTTGGCCCAAACAAGAAGTCGAATAATTGCCTACCTTTTCAGTCTCATTTCCTCATTTATACTTTATGCTCCAACATTTCCTATTCCCCTTTACTTACTTGTATTCACTATGATGGTGCTTGACTTTGCTACTTTGCTTAATGCTACCTCTGTGTCTAAAAGTTCTTCCCACAAACTCAATTATTCAGCCATTAACACTTGGATATTACCTCAGCTCCTCCAGAAAACTTTTTTACTTCTTAATCATTCTCTCCACCTCTTCCCAGGCTGATTTAATTATCATTATAATTCTTCCAGTTCTCTTAGCTCAAGGTATGCATATTTCATCTCTATGATGTTTCGTCTTAAGCACATGAGGCTAAAAAGTAGTTGAAATTAAAAAAAAAAAAAAAAACCTTCAAACATACCTTCCATAGAAGGATGCCCCAGTGAAAGCAGACATTCAACATCCCAGGAGCCACCTGATTTGTCTTTATTCATCAATCATGACTAAGATATATTTTAAAGTCTATTTTAATGAAATGACTTGCCAGAGGCATCGTTTGTTTGAATGTAAATTTTCACTCTATTGCTTAGTAATATAGACAGGAATTTTGAAATCAGCATGTACTTAACACTGTGAGATTGCTAAGGTTGAGTGCAGAAATAAAGGGTTGATACAGTAACTTTCAAAAGTAGATTGTTGGGGGATAGGAGGAGTTGAGTCATATCAGACAGCAAAACGAGTGTGTTGTTTTCTAGTGGAAGCATAATAAATGGCATTGGCATTTGGGAGAAGAATAATGGCAATAAATGGCATAGCACTTGTTTCTGCCTCTCTGGAGATCATGAAGTCCTCATGATCTCAGTCCTCTGTCTCTGCTGTGATGACATATATGAAGCAGCTAGTATAGAGAGTATGGCAAAGAAATGTTTGCTTCTTCACTCTCTTTCCTCTCTTTTCTGTGTCTTCATATATTTTAGGATACACTTTGTCTTCAATGATCTAATCACACTTCAGTGTGGCTGGTCCCACATGATAGAAAATACTAATTCACAACAGAATGAAACTGTTGACTTTGTAACCATTTAAATATTTTATTGTTTTTATTTTTTAAAATATGTTTAAAAATTATTTTAGGTACAGGGGGCTCATGGGAAGGTTTGTCCCGTGGATATATAGCATGATGCTGAGATTTGGGCTTTGATTAAACCTTTGATCCAAATAGTGAAACATAGCACCCAAGATAGTTTCTTCATCTTTCCCCTCTCCTTCCCTTCCCCACTTTGGAGTCCCCAGTGTCTATTTTTCCCATCTTTATGTCCATGTGTACCCAATGTTTAGCTCTCACAAGTAAGAATATGTTAATTCACTATGGATAATGATATTCAGCTGCATCCATGTTGCTGCAAAAGACAAAATTGTGTTCCTTTTTGTGACTGTATAGTATTCTATAGTGTATATATAACACATTTCCTTTATCTATTCAATGATGGGAGGACACTTAGGTTGATTCCATGTCTTTGCTATTGTGAATAGTGTTGTAAGAAACATACAAGTTCAGGTGTCTTTTTAGAAGAACAATTTATTTTCCTTTGTGAATATATCCAATAATGGGGTTGCTGGGGTGAATGGTAGTTCTATTCACAGTTCTTTGAGAAATCTCCAAACTGCTTTCCACAGAGGCTCAACTAATTTACAATTCCACCAACAGTGGACTGGTGATTGGTGTTCTCTATTCTCTGCAACCTTGCCAACGTCTGTAATTTTCTTGACTTTTTCGTAATAGCCATTCTTTTTTTTTTTTTTTTTTTTGAGACGGAGTCTGGCTCTGTTGCCCAGGCTGGAGTGCAGTGGCCGGATCTCAGCTCACTGCAAGCTCCGCCTCCCGGGTTCACGCCATTCTCCCGCCTCAGCCTCCCGAGTAGCTGGGACCACAGGCGCCCGCCACCTCGCCCGGCTAATTTTTTGTATTTTTTAGTAGAGACGGGGTTTCACCGTGTTAGCCAGCATGGTCTTGATCTCCTGACCTCGTGATCCGCCCATCTCGGCCTCCCAAAGTGCTGGGATTACAGTAATAGCCATTCTGACTGGTACGAGATGGTATCACATTGTGGTTTTGAGTTCAGTTTCTCTAATAATTAGTGATTCTGAGCATGTTTAAAGTATATTTGTTGGCAGATTGTACTCTTTCTTTTGAGAAGTTTCCATTCATGTCCTTTGCGCCCCCCCTCCTTTTTTTTTTGAGACGGAGTCTCACTCTATCACCAGGCTGGAGTGCAGTGCAGCAATCTCAGCTCACTGCAACTTCCGCCCCTTCCCTTCCCCCAGGTTCAAGCGATTCCCCTGCCTCAGTCTCCCAAGTAGCTGAGACTACAGGTGTGCACTACCACACCCAGCTATTTTTTTTTTTTTGTATTTTTAGTAGAAACGTGATTTCACCATGTTGACCAGGATGGTCTCGATCTCCTGACCTTGTGATCCACCCGCCTTGGTCTCCCAAAGTTGACCACTTTTTAATGGGGTTACTTATTTTTTTTTCATTGTTAATT